AACCAAAAAATTGATATTGCTTGTATAATTAAAACAGCTACTTGTCTATAGTGATGATTAAGTACAAGAATAATTGAGGCTTTATGGAGTGAAGGAAGTAAGATTAATTTCAGGGACGAATTTGGCAGAGGGGGTGAAGAAGGGATTAAATCAAGCTGTTAGAACTAGATCCTTCTACTCATTTTCTGAGAATGTGTGGTAATATGCATAACTTGATGCAGAGCTATTTTTGTCCGCTCACAAGAGCGTCAACGGAAGGCTCCGACTATTGCCATCTCGGAGAGAAGGGAAGCTACTCAATAGTAATTGCATCATCTGATTGCGTAAAGTAGGGAGAACATTCTCTTGCAATGCTTTCTGCAACAGAGAGACTTTTTATGCCTGGGTTATTAGGTCAGACCCGGCTGGCACTATCCCACCCTTATCTTCAGTGATGGAAATATGCTGCTTGGAAGTGGGACACTGCCTTTCTTTCTCAGCTGTATATTTTTTTGCTGCCCTTTTGCCTTTCTGCAGTGCAAAACTACATCCTTCAACGGCAACTTCATTTATGTATCTCCTTAAAGGGAGATTTCTTTCTTGGCTAGGTCATGTAAGGAGGCTTTTAATTTCCTCCCCCCCCCCCTGATTTTCTTTAATGCATTAATAGAACATTGCTGTTGCGCCTCAACGCAAGTACGATGTTTAAAAACTTTTTGTATACCAGCAAGCTCAGCCTTCTTTTTCTGGTTTCAACCGAGGGGAATTAGACGTGGCCCATCAAATAATCTGAGGCTGCAAAATTCATAAGCCTTGGCCATAGTCTAGTGAATGAGGATGGTGGATCTTAAGGCTTTCAGTTCCTGGAAATGGGATAGTTCTTACAGAATAATTGCAAGTGGATAGATCTGATAGGATTCCTCCCCCTTGGAAGGTTACCAGTTAATAATAATAATACTAATAATACTAATAATACTAATAATACTAATAATACTAATAATACTAATAATACTAATAATACTAATAATACTAATAATAATACTAATAATACTAATAATAATAATAATAAAGTTGGAAGGGACCTTGGAGGTCATCTAGTCCAACCCCCTGCTCAGGCAGGAAACCCTATACCATTTCAGACAAATGGCTGTCCAATCTCTTCTTAAAAACTTCCAGTATTGGAGCATTCACTGCTTCTGGAGGCAGGTTGTTCCACTGGTTAATTGTTCTAACTGTCAGGAAGTTTCTCCTTAGTTCTAGGTTGCTTCTCTCTTTGATTAGTTTCCATCCGTTGCTTCTTGTCCTGCCTTCAGGCACTTTGGAGAATAGCTTGACTCCCTCTTCTTTGTGGCAGCCCCTGAGATATTGGAACACTGCTATCATGTCACCCCTGGTCCTTCTCTTCATTAAACTAGACATACCCAATTCCAGCAACCGTTCCTTATATGCTTTAGCCTCCAGACCTCTAATCATTTTTGTTGCTCTTCTCTGTACTCTTTCTAGAGTCTCAACATCTTTTTTTTTATTAATTTATTCGGATCTTTTTTGTTCATTTATCAAAGAAAAAGAAGTTCCAGATTCCAGCAGTAGAAATATGATGCCACTGTACATTTGTTATTGACACTCTCTTTATATCAATAGTACATAGGCCATGTCAGAACACTTTCTGATGGCCCTGCAGTTCTTTCCAATGCAGGGAGATAGGAAATATTAAATTGGTCTGCCCCAAGTATCTGACGAACCTAATTGGATTCCAGAAGGAACCTTGGTCTGCTAAATGGTCCAACTGAAGTCCTAGTGTCTTCCTGCAATGAGAGGGCATCGGGACCTCTGGATTGGATCACACTCAAGCAGCTTCTCCTTACCCAGGGATCCTGGAACTCTCCTTGGTTTACAGAGGAATTGAGGGAGATAAGTATTTGAAGAGATACCTGGAGTGTTACTGAAGACCAATGAGAAGTGAATTAGATCCAATACAGACATGGGCTTTGCCGGCTTTCTCTTCCTCTGCGGAAGGGCGGGAAAGAAAGCTGGGCGTCCCGAGACGTCCCACTCTGGGAGGCGACTCAGGTTTCCCTAAGTGGAGGAGGAAGACTTTGGAAACTGCCTTTTCATTTACATTCATGGGAATAGACCAGTGGTGGTGAACCTATGGCACGGGTGCCAGAGGCGGCACTCGGAGCCCTCTCTGTGGGCACACGTGCCGTTGCCCCAGCCTCGCCTCCCCCCGCAACCTCCTCCTCTCCAGCAGCCCCCCTGAAGGAGAGTCGCCCCTGAGCATGGCCCACACGGAGCAGCACAGCCAAGGACATGGCAGCCAGGCAGCGTAGACAAGACTCTGCCCTCACTCCCCATCGTGCACAGTTGATGCTGCAGGGCGCGGGCAGAGGGCGTGACCACCATAGCGCTGCTGGGCTGCCTGGGCGATCTGCGGTGGGCCCTGGAGGCGGTGAGTGGCCCTGAGGGCAGGCGGGGTGGGAGATGGGGGGGCGGAGTGGGGCGGGGCCAGTTTTTGGGCACTCGGTCTCTAAAGGTTTTGCCATCACTGGAATAGACCATCCCCCAAACCTCAGCCATCCTCTCCACAGCACGCTGCAGCTGATCCAAAGCGCTGCCTAAAACAGCGAGGCAGACATGCACACAGACGCGGCGCTGTCATCCTCCTGCAACATGCAGCCTCTCCCTGTAAGCAATGTAAATGAATGTAAATGAAAAAGCAGTTTCCAAATATTTCCTCCTCCACCGAGGGAAACCTGAGTTGCCTGGTGGGGCGGGGCACCACCCGGGCTGGGCCTTGTGGTAAAAAAAATAACACAACCTCCAAAAATAAGCCCTAATGAGTCTTTTGGACCAAAAATAAATATAATATAAGGGCTTATTTTCAGGGAAGCACAGTATTTGTCTACTTGGTAAAATTCTGGAAGGGAAGGCTAGGCTAGAGATTCCATCAACAAAGAAATAGACCTCACGATCAAGCTTTCTTGGTGATGGCCCCCCTCCTTTGGAAAAGCTTGTCTCTGGATATCTGAGCCATCCACTCCCCGTTAACACTTTCAAAATTATGGATTCTTGAAGACACTGTTCTTCAAGAAGGCATTAAGAAATGGTTGGGAAAAAAATATTTTCCCTTAATGGCGAGGACTGATGGCAATTTGTAACAGTTATCTTCTTCCCCTATTGTATGTAATACCTTGTAAGCAGTTTGGAGTCCTGGGAAATGGATAGGTGTGTAAATTGAAGCAATAAAGAAATAAATGAACCAGTAATAATAGCTTTTTCTCCGATTCTTAATGCATGGAAGAGGCTCAATAAATTGTTTTACCACCTACTTTTATTCAGTAGCCCTCACCCTTGTCTCCTAGGCTCTACATCGCAAGGTAGGCAGAAAATACTTCTCATTTACTCTGTCAAAGCAAGCTGCTGTCACTGGTCTTGTTGCTGTGTGGCATTCAGTGAATAATTTGAATTGCATATCCCCAGTGTTTTCTCTCTGCCCTATCGTTCCTGCATTAATGTACAGTACATTGACCATCAGAAAGAATATTGCCCTTTGCTTGTAACTGGCCTGCTGTTGCTTTGTGATATTTTAGTTAATATTTGATAGTTCGTTGAACTACGTAAAAAGAAATGTTTAGTAGGTGGGAAGCTGCCCTTAAAGATAAGGTTGGCATTTCCTACAGCAGCCTGAATTTCTTCCTCTCTTCTTATGGTAGATTTAGTAGTTTCATACATTAGACGATTTATATGAGTCACTGATTGACCTTAGGCCTCACCAACCTCCCAAAGCGTTATGCAAATAACAGTGGATATTAAAACTATGTGGGCTGTTTTGTACAGCTTGGGGAAAAGTAGACTGTAATTCTAATAAGTAAAGAAATCAATATATAACTCACCCCTCTCAAAATATACAAGTGCCAATGCCAGTAATGTCATTATGAAATATTTATAGAGACTGTATAGCAAATCCACAAATGCTGTCGTCAATATGCAATCTTATTCCATAATGTTCTACTTTAAAATCCAGCAATAAAAAAAATTGTTTATGTATTAAATTTCTATATTACACATCTCACCTCAACTGACTCCCAAATTAGCTGGTCTAAAAGCAGAATTAAGGTGGACATAGGATTATATTCACCCAAATCAAGAAATTGGAAATTAAAACAGATGCCTCAATTATAGATATATCTCATGACATTAATGATGTCATGCAAAAGATTTAAGTCAATTTGGTAACATTTTTCAGCCAAGGATAAATTTTGAGACTAAGTGATGAGTGCAAACACAAAATGGCAGGCGTATCTCCCAATTTACAGTATAATTGCTATTGTGGACCTGGGCAGTCAGAAAACACATGCAAAGTCAAATCAGTCCAAAAAGAATCCCCGTTGCATAAAATCTTTGTGGAGAAGGTTGTATAAGATCTACACCCGGTGAACAATCTTTGCTTCCCCCAGATTTGGGCTGACTGAACAAGGGAAAGTATGGGTAGGTGGAGAACTAATTACAGATAAATATAGCTTTGATTCTGCGGTGTCATTATTGATTATGGGGTACTTATTTGCCAAGGCAGCAACCTTGGTTTCTAAAATCCCTGGCTATGGAATTTGACTGAATTTGAGATAGTTTTAATTCTGGACTTTTTCTACTGAATTTCCTTGACTTTTGTCAAGGAATTTATCATTGTTGATTTGTAGTTCCAAGCTTGTGTGATAAACAGAATTTGTTAATGATGCATAGTTCATATTTTTAATGTTTCAAACAATAAACAGAATTAATTCTGTTTCTTAATGAGAAGAAATTAATATAGTATTGGTTGATTATGTGCCATCAAGGTGGTATTAACTCTTAGCAACCACATAGATTTCTCGGCTTCTTCTGCGTGTTGTGTTTATATACTCATGGAAAAATGGAGCCTTGGCTTCGGATTGGGCATTAACCAAATGCATAGCAATTAAAATGTATATGCAACATAAACTGCTATGCAATATGTAGTTAATCCATACCTTTTCCCCCTACAGGTTCCAGTTGCACATTGTTTAGGACCCATAGGACATTACAAGAGAAAATTCTGTTCTGTGTGCAGAAAGCAGTTGGAAAGTCCAGCATTTCGCTGTGAAGGTAAGCTCCCAAAAGAATGGATTATACTACTAATCAGCATAACTTAATTTCACTGTTAACTCTTTTTCTCCTGGTTCCGATCTATGTTTTTCTATGAAAAGGAAATGTATGAGTGCTTACTTGATCCTTAAAGAAAGTCTTGCTGGAAAAAAAAATTCAAAAGGAAACCTGTATTCTCCCTTGCAATGGAATTGTGTTTGTCAATGAAACATATTCCCTTGTGTTTCATGGCATTTAGCACTAAATGGGGAACTTATGTTGTATATAAGAATTAGAATCCTTTATTTGTCCAAGTGTGATTAGACACACAAGGAATTTGTCTCTGGTGCAGAAATTTTCAACACAACATCATCATCATCATCATCTTCATCATCATTCCAATTAAGGGGGGAGGAGTAAAGAAGATAATAAGAAGGATAAGTGATAATAATATAGCCATACTACATTGGTAAATATATTGTACATAGACGTTAGACAGCACTGTGAAAATTAAGTGTTTAACAGATCACCTAATTTAAATAACTTTTAAATTTGTATTCAGAATACTTTACTTACTAATTCTATAAGGATACAACAGTTGTAATAGTTTTTAAAGGTTATCCTAGAAAGAAGTAAATATAGAGATGTACGTGGATAAACGGATGCAGAAGAAAGTTCATTTTGCTTTCCCCCATTTATTTCAGTGTGTGAGATACATGTACACACAGACTGTGCCCCCTTTGCTTGCAGTGATTGCCGTCAGTGCCATCAAGATGGTCATCAAAATCATGTGAGTATACTTCTAGCTGGTTAACATTTTTGCATTTTTACCAAAGTAGCAAAACATTAAATGTTGTGTGCAGTGTTAGAAGGAAAACTAAAACAAGAACAAAAAGAAAACAGAAAAAATGAAAAATTGCTTGTGACTGTGTATGCTTCTGTGTGTGTGTGTGTGTGTGTGTGTGTGTGTGTGTGTATCAGGGAGTGTTACATACAGGATGGATACGTACACATAAATGTTAAAATATCATTAATATAGTAAATTAATGGTGATGAATTTCAATAAATTTCCCAAACTCTTTGTTATTGGATTACTTTTCAGCTGAATAAATTTCCACCACCTTTAAATAATGCTGATCAAATGAAAAATGCATCCTAGTTTTTCAGTGTTTTTCAGTAACACATTTGGTAGATAACAACCAAAATTAAATTAATTTATGTCCAGAATCATACAAGTGTAATGGGCTGTATAGAAATTAGGTAGGTAGGTAGGTAGGTAGGTAGGTAGGTAGATAGATAGATAGATAGATAGATAGATAGATAGATAGATAGATAGATAGATAGATAGATAGATAGATAGATAGATAGATAGAAGTGGTGAATGCTCCAACACTGGAAGTTTTTAAGAAGAGACTGGACAGCCATTTGTCTGAAATGGTATAGGGTTTCCTGCCTGAGCAGGGGGTTGGACTAGATGACCTCCAAGGTCCCTTCCATCTTTTATTATTATTATTATTATTATTATTATTATTATTATTATTATTATTGGCAGGCAGGCAAGCAATTGAGCAATGTTGCAAAAAAAAAATTGGAAACTTTTGACCAAAGGAAATATCTAGTAGAGCATTGCTACTAAAGTGGTAACCAATTTGCTTGGATACCTTGTTGACAAAATCTAAGTTAAAACCTATTCATTGATAGTTTAGTTTAACAGATCCTCTTTTAGTAGATTTCAGATGCAACAGACAGAATTTCCATTCAATCATCCTTTTAATATAGCAGGAATGTCCTGCTGAAACAATCAGAATATAATAATTAAAACAAAATGCAAAAAAATATTAATTTTTCCTACTTTGCATTGTTCAAAGTCCTTTGCATAATAACATCATTAATCAAATAAGGTAAATTACACCATTCTCCTCCATTTATGCTATTATGGAAATACCATAAATCAATACAAATTACATAATTTGTATTTGATGGATATTTAGGAAGAGTAAACATGCCAGGTGAAATATAGTGCATTAAATCAAGCTTTCACTATATAGCGTAGTGAAAGCTTAGAATTTAATGCCTCTTGCGGATTGCCTTCACATTCAGTTCAATACCACAGAGAGCTCCAGTGAAATCCATCAAGTTCAATTCTCAGCCTCACCTCCCAGGGTTTACTAAGTTTTAAAAAATAAATATACTTAATATAATATTAGAGAGATTCACCAGATTTTCATTTGAAAGAAATTGGGGCTATGAGTAGTCCTTTTCCAAAATCATTTGGTTTGCTTTGAATAACACGGGAAGTAAATTTGCTCAGAGATACATGAAATATTTTCTAAGTCTTTAACACATAGGTGAATAACTGGCTGTTAAATATAGTCATTAAGATTTCTGAAAGTATGTTTTTCTTGACTTTCTACATAATCTTAGATGTAGCTACTTTATCAGACCCTTAATATCTTGTGAGGCTTTAAAAACCTGTAATAATAATGTATTTATTAAATGATAACAATACACACACATACACACACAGTAAAACTATAAACAGGTAGTCCTTGACTTACATCATTTCATTTAATGACCATTCGAAGTTATAATGGCACTGACTTATGACCATTTTCTACACTTATGACCATTGCAGCATCACCATGGTCATATGATCAAAATTCAGACCCTTGGCTGCTGATTCATATTTATGATGGTTGTAGTGTCTCTGCATCATGTGATCACCTCTTGCAACCTTCTGACAAGCGTGGATTTGCTTAATGACCATATTACTAACTTAACAACTAAGGCAAGAAAGGTCGTAAAATGGGACAAAACTCACTTAACAACTGTCTTGCTTAGCCACAGAAATGTTGGGCTCAATTGTGGCCGTACGTCGAGGACTACCTGTACTCCTTAACTCCCAGTAACCTTGGGTGGTTACTTTGGTTAAAAAAAAGATAAAGCTTCTTTTGATTCAAACTAAACTCTTTGATGACTCCTGTCTATTGTGTTCTCTTGGCAGCAATACAGAAATAATTTGCCTCTGCGTTCTTCTCAGATACTTTTTAAAAATGTTTCCCAGTATGATCTGTTGGGTAGCTTTTGGATACTTCCTCAGTGGAACTGCATCTACATGGAGGGAAGTGTGTACTGGGGTGCCCCAGTGCTCTATTCTGGGCCCAGTGCTCTTCAACATCTTCATCAATGATCTGGATTAGGGGATAGATGGGGAACTCATAAAATTTGCAGGCGACACCAAGCTGGCAGGAATAGCCAACACTCCAGAAGACAGGCTTAGGATGCAGGAGGATCTGGACAGACTTGAACACTGGGCGCTATCTAACAAAATGAAATTCAGTGGTGAAAAAAGTAAGGTTCTACATTTAGGCAAGAAAAACCAAATGCACAGGTATAGTATAGGTGGTACCTTGCTCAATAGTAGTAACTGTGAAAGGGATCTCGGTATCCTAGTGGACAATCACTTAAATATGAGCCAGCAGTGTGCTACAGCTGCCAAAAAAGCCAACACAGTGTTAGGCTGCATTAACAGAGGGATAGAATCAAGATCATGTGAAGTATTAATACCACTTTACAATGCCTTGATAAGGCCACACTTGGAATACTGAATCCAGTTTTGGTCACCATGATGTAAAAAAATGTTGAGACTCTAATAAGAGTACAGAGAAGAGCAACAAAGATGATCAGGGGACTGGAGGCCAAAATATATAAGGAAGGGTTGCTGGAATTGGGTATGTCTAGTAGTTTAATGAAGAGAAGGACCAGGGGTGACATGATAGCGGTGTTCCAATATCTCAGGGGTTGCCACAAAGAAGAGGGAGTCAGGCTATTCCCCAAAGCACCTGAAGGCAGGACAAGAAGCAACGGATGGAAACTGACCAAAGAGAAAAGCAACCTAGAACTAAGGAGAAACTTCCTGACAGTTAGAACAATTAATCAGTGGGACAACCTGCCTCCAGAAGCTGTGAATGCTTCAACACTGGAAGTTTTTAAGAAGAGATTGAAACAGCCGTTTGTTTGAAATGGTATAGAGTTGGACTAGATGACCTCCAACGTCTCTTCCAACATCATCATCATCATCATCATCATCATCATCATCATCATCCATCATCATCATCATCATCATCATCATCATCATCATCATCATCATCATCATTATTATTATTATTATTATTATTATTATTATTATTATTATTATTATTACTTTCCCATCCAAGTTCCCAAGTTTGATCCTGTAGGGCAAAATGTTATAATGCCCTGTCTTAACATAATTCTTGTGATTCTGCTTCTCTTTGTAGGATATGTGCCATCATCACTGGAGGGAGGGAAACCTTCCATCAGGCTCACGTTGCAAAGTTTGTAAGAAAACGTGTGGCTCTTCCGACGTGCTCTCGGGTATGAGGTGTGAATGGTGTGGCATCCTGGTAAGCATATTAAGGGGTAGGCAAGTCTCCAAGGAAACACAGAATAGATATATTCAAAAGAAAAGAAAGCTGTTTTCCAAAAGACCTTTACAATAACTGTATGGAACAAAACACGTTATCGAAGTGTACATTAAACCGCAAAGCATCTACTCTGGGAAACCATCATGGCCTTTGTGGGTGTTCCCTTCTTTAATAATAAAAATGGTTATTTAAATTCATAGAAGGTATTGGTACAACATAAAGCTAGAGGTTAAATGCTTAGCCTTCAGAGCAAAACATTTGTTCCTTTGAATAGCAGCATTAAGTAGAAAACTGGAGCGTGGTTTGAGGTAGAGAAATAACCTAGGATTATTTCCACCGTTAAAAACCTAGTGAGCAGAGGTGAGGATGGTCAAAGAAATCAAGATGGTGACCACAAGGATGTGACTGAACCTGATTCAGTCTGCCTGTTTTTTACGGCCACCATCTTGACTCTTTTGACCACACTCTGGGGATATCTCTGTAGCTGAGAGAAAAGTGTATTAGGAAGTTTTGGCAAGGTTTCAGCATACAAGTGGTCCTCAGTTAATAACCACTCATTCATCAACTGTTCAAACTTACAAAAGCATTGAATGAGTGGTACTTACAACCAGTCCTTAAAGTTCTGGCTGTTGCAGTACCCCACGGTCATGGGTCTGTGATCCAGTCACTCAACAACCAGCCTGGATTTCCATGATCATACAATTGTGATTTGCTGGCTCCCCACAAGCAAAATCAGCAGGGAATTGGAAGTCATAGTCATGTGAGGTCCTCACTTAATGACCTGCAGTAATTCACCTAACAATGGTAACCGGGGCTTGCCAGAACTGCTGTTGCTTAGCATTCCAGGCATAGGATTTTGCACTTTAGAACCGTATTGCTTAACAACAGAAATTCCAGCCCCAATTATTGCCATTAAGCGAGGACATAGGTATGCCTTCACTTTTACTATTAAAAACAGGCTGTTAAATTTTCACCTGAATTAAACTTGAAAGTATTTTTTCTATTCTACTGTCAGAACTTGAAACCATCCAGACGCACAAAATATCTTTTGCTCTGTGGAGATTAAGGAAGCGAAGACGTGTGGTTAATCTTTTATCTTAATTAGCAAACGAGATAGAAAACATTCTAACGATTAGTAATCCAAAATTCCTGGATGTTTTGCTGGCTACTTATTAAATCAAATAAGCTTCAGAATTATTAGCAAGGTGTTTGTGTGTGTGTCTCTCTCTCTCTGTGTTTGGTTAATAAATCTCTACAGATGGTAACATTTCTGCTACCATGTTTCCCCAAAAATGAGACCCGGTCTTATGTTAATTTTTGCTCCAAAAGATGCATTAGAGTTTATTTTCTGGTTAGGTCTTATTTGGGGGGAAAATTACGGTACTAAATGCATCCGTGTGGCTGACAATCTTAACTGGGGCTTATTTTTGGGGTGGGGCTTATATTATGAGCGTCCTGAAAAATCATGCTAGGTCTTATTTTCCGGTTGGGTCTTATTTTGGGGGAAAGACGGTAATTATACATAGGAAGGAGGGTGCCCATTTAGTCTAGTGCAGGGGTAGGCAACGATGGCTCTTTTATGACTCGTGGACTTCAACTCCTAGAATTCCTGAGCCAGCCATGCTGGCTCAGGAATTCTGGGAGTTGAAGTCCACGAGTCATAAAAGAGCCAACGTTGCCTACCCCTTGTCTAGTGGTTAAGGCACCAGGCTAGAAACTGGGAGTCTGTGAGTTGAAATCTGGCCTTAGCCATGAAAGCTGACTGGATGACCTTGGGCCAGCCTAACTCACCTCACGGGGTTTTTGTAAGGAAAATAGGAGGAAAAAGGAGCATTAGATATGTTCGCCACGTTGGGTTATTTATAAAAACAATAAAGGAGGGATATTAAATAAATAAAAGTTTAAGAATAAGAAAAAGTAAGAAAGACTAAGAGACTTAGTTTGGTGTAATGGTTAAAGCAACAGGTTAGAAACCAGGAAACCGAGTTCTAATCCTGACTTAGGCACAAAGCTGGCTGGGTGACTTTGGGCCAGTTGTTCCCTCTCAGCCACAGGAAGAAAGCACTTTAAAAATGCTGCCAAAAGACCTGCTGGGACTTGTCCAGTTGTTGCCAGGAGTCAAGACTGACTTGAAGACACAAAGGCGTACACAAAAGAGGTCTGATAGCGTGGAGTAGAACTATAGAGTAAGAGTAATCTTAAAAGAACAGGTAAATGTTAGCTGGTATTTCTGATGATATCAGTACATATTTTATAAAAGAACAGGAAACATTCTTGTGTTCAAATGATTTCCCCATTCTTTGTAAGGAGAATATGATTTTCCTAAGTGTGAACTTTCTTCCTCCATTAAAACAGTTTGTAGTTGTGAGTATATAGACACTCACATAATTATCAAAGCTCACATATGGATTTGGATTTGTGAGAGATTAATAATGTCTGTAGTTATGGCTAAAAGAATGCTGACTAACATAGCACTGAAAATACAGTATTTTCAAGTGTTCTCAACTCTGAGATGCATAGCAGGTTTTTTTTGGGGAAAAAGCATTAACTTTGACAAAACTCCCACCATTTCTATTGTCTGTTTTATCACTGCTCCTGTAGAATATCACAAATTACAGAAGACAAAAATGTAAGTGCTGCAACCTATTGGCCATCTGACACACCTTCTTGAGAACTTGATGTTGTGTTTTCTGCAGGCTCATGCCGCTTGCTATGTGATTGTGCCTCCAGAATGTACTTTTGGAAGATTAAGGAACATGATTCTTCCCCCCAGTTGTGTGCGATTATTTTCTCGGAATTTCAGTAAAATGCACTGTTTTCGAATGTCAGAAAGCATACAAACAGAGACAGGTAAAATTCAGGATGGATCAGGTTAAAACTGTTTCATTACAATTGTTTTTTCTCTTTCTTTCTCTGCCTTTCTCTTGTATTCACATTATTATGAATTGTTGTTAAATAATATTATGACTTGATTTGGTTTATAACAGGTAGTCTTTATTTAGTAACCATAATTGGGACTGGCAACTTGATCATTAAGCAAAGCAATCGCTAAGTGAAGCCGTTGATGTTTTTGTGATCTTACTTCAGATTTCCTTTGCTTTACAGGCTTGCTAAGGTAGTAAATGTGGGTGCTGGTCGCAAAGTTATCTTTTCATCACCTTTGTAACTGCAAATAATTGCTGACCTCGCAAAATGAGGACTACCTATAATATGTAATCATCAATGTAAATTGCTATTCTCGCAAATGATTTGGTGATTATTTTTCTTCCAAGAAACATTGACAGGTTTATAGGTTTCAAAAAAAGATATGAGTTGAAATGGCATACCCTGTTCAAAATGTCAGGAAACTGTGGTTTTGGGGGTTTGGTTTGAACTCACTAAATATAAGAAAATGCTTTAACTCTTTACTGGAAAAAGAAGATGATGACAGCAAACTAAATTAATATTTTGGCAAAGTAGTAAGCCATTATAAAATTTAAATTCTTAGTTTATCAAAAATTGTATAGTACAGCCTTCCTTCCCTATGTCTTACACATAGATTGAAACGATAGTTTCCACAATTCCTAGCCAACCCACCAATTACAAATTTATAGCGGAAAAAAAGAGGTTACTATAGCACAACATGAGATAGATTTGGTGATGGGACAAATATGCAAACTTGTTTTTTACTTGATTTATTTGCTTGGGCTATCCTGAAGAAACACTGTTCGGAGTCTATAGCAATATTTTGCTGCCCCCTACAGTACACCTTAGACCAATATTTTCATTTTCAGGAAAATGTATTTATTTTATTTAGCAAATTTATGTAGCTGTCAATCTCACAAACATGTCTTTGGATGACATATTTAAAAACATCCCCCACTCCATTTAGTTGTGTCTGATTCTCAGAGACTTTCTGGAAAGATCCCTGCAGTTTTCTTTGCAAGGTTTTTCAGAAGTGATTTGCCATTGCCTCCTTCTAAGGGGCTGAGAGAAAGTGACTGGCTCAAGGCCAGTGGTTCTCAACCTTGTTAATGCCGCGACCCCAACCAGTCATAAGTCGAGGACTAAACCCGGTCGTAACTTGAGGACTAAACCCGGTCGTAAGTCGAGGACTAAACTGGTCGTAAGTCGAGAACTACCCAACCGGTCGTAAGTCGAGGACTTTCCCTGCCCGGGAGCGCCACGCATGCGTGGTTCTGCCCCCTGCGCCGGCCGAGGCGTAGCTGGCAAGCGGCAGAGACGGAGCAGGCCGACCACCAGCTGGCCCAGCCCAAGGGAGGTAAGGCACCCGCTGGAAAAGGGGAAAAAAATGGCGGACAAAAAAAATGGACAAAAAAAATGGCGGACAGCCTTGCTTGGCGACCCCCATGAAATGGTCGATCGACCCCAAATGGGGTCCCGACCCACAGGTTGAGAACCACTGCTCAAGGCCATCCAGCTGGCTTTGTACCCAAGGTCAAGAACTCACAGTCTCCCAGTTTCTAGCCTGATGCCTTAAAATCACTACACCAACTGGCATGCCAGTTAAATTTAATTGTTTAATTAAAACAAACATAAATAAAAAGCCAAGATACTTCCTTTTTAGATTTTTGGTGAGTCTTTCCCAGGGGTGTCGTCCACCCATTTGTATTCTTTAAGCTACAAAGTAAGCATTTCCCAACATATTACAGATTTACCAGCCACTTTTTTTTTTTTTACCACCAGCCAATTGTCAACAGGCATCAACGTTTAAATCCATCTAGGTCAGCGGTTCTCAACCTATGGGTCGCGACCCCATGTGGGGTCGATCAACCATTTCACGGGGGTCGCCAAGCAAGGCTGTCCGCCATTTTTTTTTCCCTTTTCCGGCGGGTGCCTTACCTCCCTTGAGCTGGGCCAGCTGGTGGTCGGCCTGCTCTGTCTCTGCCGCTTGCCAGCTATGCCTCGGCCAGCGCAGGGGGTGGAACCATGCATGTGCGGCGCTCCCGGGCAGGGAAAGTCCTCGACTTACGACCGGTTGGGTAGTCCTTGACTTACGACTGGTTTAGTCCTCGACTTACGACCGGTTGGGGGTCGCGGCATTAAAAAAGGTTGAGAACCACTGATCTAGGTGCCCAACTATTGCATCTTAATTCATGTTTTCTCCCAATTCTTCTTCCCCAGAATTTAACGCACCCCCTCTGAGTATGTTTCTTTCTCCACTATGTTTCTTTCTCCTCTATGGGAACACTACTCTATGAGAAGCTAAACCAACTGATAGTCTCAGCTTTGTCCATCAGTTAAGAAAAGGGATGGCAGAACCTGGGGATGGAATCAAAAGAGGAATTAACCTAGAGTCACTGCGTAGCCAAAAATAGACCAAGACCACCCTCTCTTGAATCCTGTTGGCCCTTTATTTAGCACATTTATCTTGCACTTAAGCATGAGTAGTAAAAAAAAATATCAGTTAATTGGAACTTCATGTATAATCCTGACATCAGCTGCCCAACCAAAACCATGTATTTTAAGTTTTTTCATGGATTCAGGAACCCCCCATAGGAAGTTGAATATAGATTTTTGCAATATCATTTTCTTCTTTGTAAAAATAATAAATAAAATATCATAAATTTGTGCCAGGTTCTTTGATTCAGGAGCAGAATGTTCCAAGGTTAATGAAGTTTGCACATCTCTGCTGTGAAATAGTTTCATTGTGGCTGTAGGGATTTTTAATCCCCCCAGGGCATAAATGCCATTAGTATCCTGATTCAGCACTTTTCATTATGTAGTAGATGATGTCAATGCAAGAAGAGCAATATTGGCAGTCCTTTTTTTTCTGAATGCTGCAGTGTCTTTAAAACAATACATTAACTCTGTGCATCCGCCATATAAAATGCCTTTCTCAATTTTTCTTTCCACAGATGATGACGATGACGTTGATAATTCAACACAGTCATCACTAAAAGAATCCCAGGTTTCTGCCGATTCCAGTAAGTGGCATTCGATACTAAGTAGAGATTCTCTCTAGAACGCAAAGGTTTATACACAGATAATCTGCAGTTTTTTTACTGTGCAAAATGTTCAATCCAAAAGATTGTCAAGAAGCTGGTGTAGAGATTCAGGAATATGACCTTGCAGAAATATGCAGGAACCCTTACCTGAGCAAAAGGGGATGAAGCACTGTTTAAAATGCAAACAATGAGATAACATTTGGACGTTGGTCAGGGAGATGCCTCCTTGATTCACAATATAAAAAGGAGAAGATACAACACAATTCTGACTTGTTAGACTTCGTTATTATAGCCAATCCTAATGAACATTTTAGCCTTTCTTGGAGAAGATTTCCTCATATGGCCTACTAGTGCAGCTGACAGCTAGCCAGCTCTTGTTATAATTGACAATATTGTTATTAAACAATGATTAACTCAAGCTGTTTGTGTGATTCAGCCCTTCAAAGTGTCTGTGATGCAGATTCTTTGAAATACTAGCTGTTTATTATTGAATATTTTAACATATGTAAGGTTAAAACTACTAAATTAACCTAATATCATAACTATAAATGACATATGAAAAGAAATCCATTGCTCTCTCTATTGAATTAAATAATTGTATTTATTGTGATTGATTGATTGATTTATTAATTGTTTGTACACTAGTTTCAGTGTGATTTAAAGAGCAGAATTTAAATTTTGTTTTTACATAAAATAGTTCTCAATATATTACAGATCTCATTGCCTTTTGCATTGTCAGGTTTAAGAGCTCCTTACTATTTTGTTAGCTTACTTTTGTACTTTTAAATATAATTGTTGTTAAAAGTGTTTTTCTACAGAGTAAAACAATATAAATGTTGAGTTAAAGAGAAATAGAGAAAAGTAATAGAAAAGTGAAAAAGAAATATAGAAAAGGTAGAAAAGGAAAAAAGTATTAACAAAGAAGTGATTTTTGGTCTTTTTAACAGCAGTTATAAGAACTCTTATATTTTGCGCTCTCTCTCTCTCTCTCTCTCTCTCTCTCTCTCTCTCTCTCTCTCTCTCTCTCTCTCGCACGCTCTCGCTCTCGCTCTCTCTTTTTCTCTCTCTCTCTCTAGGTTACATCAAAGTTTCCTTCTTTCCATAATGTAACCTTTCTAGTCTACCGATCGATAAAATAATAATCAGTTAATTTTCTTTTTTCAGCAAAAAGTCCCTAAGGGGTTTTCAGTTTCTAATTTAGCGGCTCCCAATCTTTTCTATACCCCGCACCCCTATGCTTCTGATATAGTCTCACACCCCTTACAAAAGTTCAAAATAACGGCAACAAATTATGCATATACACTATAATTTTGAAGACCCAAGTTTTTGAACCCCCTGGAATATCGTCTTGCACCCTCAGCCCGGGAACCCCTGGTCCAATAAATGTAGCAGCTGATCTTTCCCTAAGCAAACAATTTTTCTATCTCTGCTAGACTTCTTTACCAATCCTCTGTTGTGGGTATTTCAGAATCTCCACCCAGCAATGATCATTTATAAAAACAATGTGCAATGGCTTTTTTTCTAGTTGTCTGTGCATTAATCCCAACTAAAAAGTTCTTGGTTCAGTTGAATCTTTGTCTCCATGATTCTGTGTATCAACCAAATGTATTTGAATTCAAAATGTTCTGGCTTTTTTACAAGTCCATCAGCCATGATAAAATGACCCTTCATGTTGTCTGCACTACATTTGTAGTACCTTTACTTAGGCTAGGTGACTTTTCTGAAGTCATATATCAATGGTACATCATTTTATAAAAAATTCTCCTTTAGATTTTAATGTGAATTCCAATCCTTTCAGCTACTTTTTCCCACTGTTTCCAACAATGTTATGTCCCAAATTCTCAGCCAGTTTTATCCTATACTCTTTCACGTGTTCATTTTCCATTTCAAATTTCAGCAAAGAGTGCATACATTTTGGCAATTACATGTTCATCATTTGTACATCATTCAAATTCTGTCTCCTGTTACTCAATTCCGAATGTCCTGTTAACTACCTTAAATCTTTCTCTTAACTGTGCATTTGTTTGTTGTACTTTTCAGCCACAAGGTCTCCAAAAATGATTTAAAACGCTTGCATTTGACTTAAGGATGGGGATCACTTTTTCCTTTCTCCCATAGCCTTCCTGTTGATTTCAGAATCTTTTCATGCACTAGATGCAGAGGTAGCCCCCTGAGCTTTTCATGCTGAAGATAAAATATTTGAAGGATCATCCCTTCCCACATTAGAATATTTGGTGTTTTTCATTCTAAACAACTATTCCTCCTCCACATGAAATATTTTCGCTAGGGCACGGGAGATGCCATGTGCTTTCACGGATTTTGCAGTACTGCTTGAAGTTAAATCCCAAATATTCCAAGTAGAATGCATGGTCCTATTTTCTACCCTGTGTTCTTTAACACAAACTCAATAGGTGAATAAAGATATATGAAATCTGAGATAATCGTAGATTCTGATAATTTTCTTTCTAATTTCATAATCCTCTGGGTTTTTTGGACTGCGCTATTCTTTCTTCTCCCAAAATTAACAGTAGATTTTTGGGCTGAAATATAAATCTAAAACTGCCTTAACTATGAGAGAAGTCTGATTTTATGAAATCAGATTGTGTTTTACAACAACTTATATTTAAAAAGCAACTACTTAATCAGCATGTTTTTAAGACCTTTATGGTTATATTGAATATTTAGCAGGATTTAGCATACAGATTTTTTTTTATATTATTAACATTTTCAGAAATAGAACATAAAATAACAGAATCTCATGGACTGAGCCCTAAAACATTGTGAAGCCTCTATTAAGAAAGATTCAACATTTTTATTCCTGATTCACAATCTGTTTTTATTAATTTTGTTTTATTTTTACATGAACAGTGTTTTGTGCATATACTACTAATTGGTTTTAGTTTTTAAATTCTATGTGTTTCTGTTCTCAGATAATTTCAAACTATTTAAATATTTCAAATTACAGTTCTGGAGGCTTATTTTACTTGTGTCAATATTTCTTTCGTCCTTGGGGCCTCCTAAACTTTGTTCCCTGAGCTATAAAATAGAGTTCATAGCATGAAGTGCTGAAGATCATATTGGTTTTGTCAATTTTATACGCTTTTTAAAATTGTGCTCTGACTCATTTTTTGCTGTATAAAATTAAAATTATTACTGTCTTAGGATGATGAAAATGTAGCAAATATTGTCTATAAATGGAACGTGGATATGACTGTGGATGTGAAGCTCCTTTTTTAAAGCAAGCCTAGATTGTGTGGACCATTTGAATGGAGGCTTATGTAGAAATGGAGTTTAGCATTATGGCATTGATGGTTTATACTTATGAACCCTGGTGGCACAGTGGTTAGAATGAAGTATTGCAAACTAACTCTGCCCACTGCCAAGAGTTTGATCCTAATGAGGCTCAAGGTTGACTCAGCCTTCCATCCTTCACAGGATGGTAAAATAAGGACCCAGATTGTTGGGAGACAATATACTGACTCTGTAAACTGCTCAGAGAGTACTGTAAAGCACTATGGGGTGGTATATAAGTGTAAGTGCTATTGCTGTTGTTGTTGCTGTTGCTATTGCTATGAAGACTGGCAGACTTGTACAGCCATAAATCATGATTTTGGGTAATTAGCATTGGTTCTCAAGATCTGTTTGGATCCAAATTTAGCTAGCTCATCCAGGATTGTAAATGAAAAGGTGCCAATGCAATTTCTAAGGGTTTAGAATAATGGAATCCACGTGTCTTTAAGTCCACATGTTTTAAAGTTTCCAAAGTTGAGAGACACTGCACTTAGAGGACTTCTGACTAATGACTATCTAGCTTCTGATTAAAAAATGTGTAGGTCTTAAACATAATTTTGTCTAATTCCCCGATCAGTGCATGATCCACTAGAACAATGTTTCTCAATGGGAACCTCAAGACATATGGATTATAACTGTCAGAATTCTGGGAATTGAAGTTCACATGTCTTAACGTTGCCCAGCTTGAGAAACACTGCACTAGAAGACCTCTGACTGATGACTTATCTAGCTTCTGATTAAGGAGCTTGTAGCAAAGGAGAAGTCTTCATATGGTAATCTATACTACTAGATGACAGTTAGTACAGTCTGATAGCTCATGAGTGGAAGAGAAAATGTTTTTAATATGCATCTGAGGAATCTTTGCTTATTTCTTATAGACCAGATGTTACTCGATGTAGCCTCTTTGATCAGTGTAAATAATAGAACTGCAATCACAATCCATTAATATTGCAATTAAGAATTACCTTTCAAATGCCTCAGCAATTTGGAAGCGTATGCTACTTAACTGTATTTCTTGTGTTATATATTAGAATATTTGTTTTTGTTTTAGGTAAGCAAATATTAAAAATATACGATGGGAATGACGCAGTAAAACGTAATCAGTATCGTCTCATTACAGTTCCGAGGATTACAAAAAATGAAGAAGTTGTGGTAAGAATGCCAACAAACCAAATTGACTTCTCTGTTTATTGAAAATTCTGTAGAATTTAATTATGCTTGTAAGAGAGACTAAAACTTTGGACCAAGTGTTATTCTTTTATGGCAAAACAGTAATCAGTGAGAAAGTAACTACTAGCTGGTATAGTACTGACTTAGATATCTGTTTTTTGGTCTCTGGTCTTTGACTGTAATAAACTTACTTGACTTGAGTTAATATCTGTTTTTAAGTTTTATCTTAATTTTCAATATATTTAACAGTGCCATGTGCGTAATGTTGCTACTTGTATTTTGAGTTTTGATTGACTTTAAATAGGGAATCAATATTTGGAGGTTATTAAGTTATGCCTACTTAATGGGAGGGGACATCTGGTTACCAATTGTTACTGTACCAACAAAGGAATAGAATAGAATGGAATGGAATAGAATCTGGAAGGGACCTTGGAGGTCTTCTAGTCCAGCTCCCTGCTCAAGCAGGAGACTTTATATCATTTCAGACAAGTGGCTGTCCAGTCTCTTCTTAAAAACCTTGAGTGATGAAGCACCCACAACGTCTTAAGGCAAGCTGTTCCACTGGTTAATTGACCTCAGTGTTAGGAAGTTTCTCCTTAATTCCAGGTTGCTTCTCTTCTTGATTAGTTTCCATCCGTTGTTTCTTGTATTGCCTTCTGGTGCTTTGGAAAATAAATTGACCCTCTCCTCCTTGTGGCAGCCTCTCAAATACTGGAATACTACTATCATGTCCCCCCTAGTCCTTCTTTTCTCTAGACTGGCCATTCCCAAATCCTGCAACCGTTCTTCATATGTTTTAGTCTCCAGGCCTTTAATCATCTTAGTTGCTCTTCTTTGCACTTTTTCCAAAGACTCAACATCTTTTTTGTAATGTGGTGACCAAAACTGGATGCAGTATTCCAGATGTGGCCTTACTAAGGCTTTTTAAAGTGGTACTAATACTTTCACATGATTTTGATTCTGTGCCTCTGTTTATACAAGCAAGGATTGTATTAGCTTTTTTGGCTGCTGCCGCACATTGCTGACTCATGTTTAAGTGATCGTCCACCAGGACTCCACAGTCCCTCTCACACTTACTATTTTTGAGCCAGGTTTCGCCTAATCTGTACTTGTACCTTTGGTTTTTCCTGCCCAGGTATAAAATCTTGCTTTTCTCACATTATTATTTTGTTGGATAGGGCCCATTTGTTCAAATCTGTCAAGATCTTTTTGGATTCTGAGCTTGTCTTCTGGGGTGTTGGCTATTCCTGCCAGCTTAGTGTCATCTGCAAATTTGATGAGATCCCCTTCTATTCCCTCACCTAAGTCATTTATGAGGATATTGAAGAGTACTGGGACTAAGTACAGCTTCTGTGAAGTTGAGTTTGATTCCTGGAGGTGTCCATGTTGATTTCTTAGTAAATTTAGGAAAAGAGATTGCTGTTTTTTTTTTTATTCTGAAATGTCATTGCAATTTCTCAATCTATTCTGAGACCTTGGAATGACAGAATATTCTCCCATCCCAGGGCTAACTGGGTTTGTTCCCACTTAGCATTTTCAGGAACAATCTAGGATGGGGTACATTGGTAATTGGGGTACATGATAATGTATAATGATAGAACTTGCCAATATTGAGGAAAGATTAGAATTTCACACTTTTTTCAATCTTATCACAAAACGTCTCAGGGGAAATGTAACTGCTGATTGGAACTGTATACTTGACATAAAGTGAGGGCTGTATCACCATTCCATTCAGGCATATTCTTTTGATTTTTTTAAAAAAACAAGGATTTACTGTTGTAGGAGGCTGCGCTGAGGGCGTACTACATCAATGATGATCAGCAAGATTACGAACTTCAGACATTCACTCAGCAGGCCTTGTTTTGTGACGACATCATTAATAGGAACGATACAACTGAAGAGGCGCAGCCGGGGTCTGTCTTCCGAGAAGCAATTCCTGAGGCTTGGGTTATCAGAGCTAAACCTAAGGAGAACGAAGTCATAAAGATTTATCCTGGCTGGCTGAAGTGAGTCATCTTTTTCTCAGCAACTTCCAAATAGGAAGACTCTTGTTGCATATTTATTGACCCAAAGAGATGCCCCTCTCCCAAAATATTACAGGAAAAAAAAATCAGCAGACAAAAACTGGACAAGGAAGGGAAAAAGAGAGAGAGAAAGAAAAAGAGAGAGAAAGAAGAGAGAGAGAGAGAGAGAGAGAGAGAGAGAGAGAGAGAGAGAGAGACCCTGTCCAGACATAACATGGATTAAATTCTTGAAGCAAACAGCTCTTCCAAAGCAGCTGCTAATCTTCAGAGGCATCCATGCCTTGCAGCAACAAATTACAATAGTCATATCTAGCTCCTGTATAGATCTCTGCTTTTAGCATCTGCTTCTATATTTACCATAGAATGCAAGAGTACCTCTCCCAATTCATAGATCCCTCTTTTATGAAGGATACAAGAAAGTTGAAGGTGAAGTCTTCCTTGCTTGGAGTTCTATATCTAGGGACTGTCTGAACATATCCATGTGGCTTGTTTGATAACATTTCTTGTTGGCTTCCTGTCCAAGTGTTAATAAAGTCAGATAGGAGTTGCTAGCTATTATGGCATGATATCAAAGTACTGAGGTTATTTATTCTATAATGCCCATCTTATACATAAACAAACAACTTTTAAGAGTTAGTTTACATCCAGGTAGCCACTACACTGCATTATTTTAACACCATTTAGGATATGGAAAGCTCTTGTCTTTTCCTTTTTTTGTATGGTTTAACTATCACTACCAATAATAGCAAAACAGAGATTAATTTGTAGACCCACTTTGTGCCAACAGCAGGAAGGAGTCAGGCAAAGGATGGATTTCGCACAGAAATCACTTGCTTTATTTCTGTCCCCTCCCACTTTGCTGAGTGGAGAGATTGAAGAGGAAGGGATTTCAAGAGAGTAGTGTAAGTTACTTGCGTAGAAAAGGAAAAGGCCTCCGGAGCCCGGATCGGCTGTGGGGGGAGGGCGCGAAATTGCTCTGCAGCCATAGATCCAGGCGGCAGAAGCCTTTTCCAGGCCTCCGGAGCCTGGATCAGGCTGCTGGGGGTCTGCAAAATCGTTCTGCAGCCACACCTGTACTCCAGCTGGCAGCTTAGAAGGAACCGATTCTTCCGTTCAAAAAAAGGTGCCGGAACGCCTTTCCGTGAGTTCTATGACAAAAAAAAGCCCTGATTAAAGTGCTATAAGTTCAGGAGTCTTAGACTTTGATTATTCAGTCTGACAATAAATATGATGTGGCCTTTTCCACCTGATACTACTTCTTTAATGATTTACTTAGAAAATCTGTCAGATAACGTAGCAACAACCTTTGCACTTTTTTTTTACCACTTACATAATTCTCCCACCACCCCTTGGCTTTCTGTAAAAGCACATTGTTTTTAAGGAGAATATGAGTCTCCTGCAAAAAAGCAATTGTAGTTCCCAACATTTTTAAATTTAGCCAACACCTGTTTATGCTAGTCTGAAAAAAAAACACTTAACTTTGCATGTTGCAAAGGAGATTGGTCAGTGGATAATAGGTGAACAAGAAAAGAAGCAAAGCTATATATATTCACGCCTGGACGATAAGGAATCCTAAGCAGCAGCAATTATTAAAATCAAAACAATATGTTATATCTTTGCATTATTTTGTAATCTTTAAATTTCTTAATTCCTTAGCCAGTTTTTCAGAGTAAGCAAGAGAAATGCTAGCATTCTGTGTGCACCATTGTTCCAGCAACATCTGCCGAGATACGTAACAGCTTCCTTTGTTCTAAATGAAATACATAGTGATATATTGCCATACTAAAATTGTTTATTCACTAGCTTTAATCACTGAAATAGTAACTTTTAGTTTTTAAAAACAGGCAGTGATTATATGCATTTGAGGATGGTTTTTAAAAAGGATCTAACTAAACTTTAACCTTGTCCTGAATAGCTATTCTTGTGTCATTGTTATTCTTCTTCTTCTTCATTGCTTTTTATTTTTATGATTTATTTAATTTGTATTTTGCATTCCTAGACTGCCTATCTCCCGCTATGTTTGCCACCCAGAATCATGTTTGTTTGATGGGCAATTATATAATCTCCGACACTAATTATAGGTGATGGTAGCAAGTCTGTGAGTTAAAAATCAGATTTTAATCAGCTGCAAAGAAAATGAAACGGAGCAGAATATTATAGTTTAAGAGCAAAACAAGAAGAATCTTGAAAGTCCTTTATGATTAGTATATTTATCAAAACAGAATCTTCAGTGGGTGCCACAATAACATTAATAAATAATATGTTCAAATAAATAACAAGTTCATACAGACACTCGCCTATGACGTATTCAAGTAAGGTACATGTTATATACACAGTATGTGAAGTTTTAGCAACTTATTTGATAAACTGCAGGATCAATATCTCACAATTTGATAAACAGTTCTGTTGTAGAGAATGAGAAAATATTATTTCTGTTTCTTTGATTCTCTTATCTTGTATATAAACTTTTACCCACGTCCTCAGGGTTGGAGTGGCCTGTGTTTCAATACGTATATATAAGGGAAGCACCACCGAAATGGTCATTAAAGAAGTTCTTCCACTACTTGGATACCAGGTAGGCAGTAATATAAAACTAGTTGGTTCTTCCGGGGTCTGATGGGTTAAATTTAATTGTCTTACTCGATTTGTAATCCTACTGTGATCCCAAACAAGAGGCACAAGAAAATAGCTAGGGAATTTCATTGCTAGTCCATTAGAGCAGTGGTCCTCAACCTTTCTGGATTGGCGAACCGGGGGGGGGGAGATGCAATGGTTCTGTGTGAGTGGCAGGTGCGCGCACACGCTCCATTTACATGAGCAGCAGGCATGCCGCCTACCGCTTCTGCGGCCCGATTCTGAATGGGCCGCAGCCTGGTACCGGGCCACAAACTGGTGGTTGGGGACCCCTGCACTAGAGTTTTGATATACATCTTCTGTTTCTCCACATCCTACAAAGTCTGAGGAACTAGTTATTTAAATAGCTTTTTTCTGACTGGCTGCTATGTTGACCTTACTTGATAGAAGAATGATGGGAAAGAGAAGCAGAATAGGGAGGGTCAGGATAATCACTCTCTCGTTATATTTTACACATTCCCTAGGACTCCCCAGAAAGCAGATGGAAGGGCTTAGGTCTGTACTTTCAATCTGTCAGGATTAAAATTTATATTATGATCTTGTTAAAGGGAGTGAAGGTTACAGAGAGTGGGTCTTCTTCTGCCTAAGATCCAAAACAATTTGGATTAAGTTTTTCCTACTTGATATGTGGCATGAGAAATCAGAATAAGATCCATTAGGATCCAGTTTTGGTATTTTTATAAATACTAAGTGTAACTCACATTCCTTTCTTCGGTGAATGGTGCATCTATGAGAGTTTGTCTACTGAAAACAGGCAATTCCCACATTTTTCTTTAATGGACTGGATCATGTTCTGCTTAGAGGACCCCAAATAGTTTAAACTAATGTTTAAGGCTAAGCCTGAAGGAGAATGATCCTTATCCTCTTTTCTTTTTTTGTGGCTTTTTGATTTTTTTCTGCATTGATTCTTGCCAAAATTAATAATCCATTGTTATTTAGCCACAGGCGAAAATGCTATTGAAGTTCTACACCTGTCTTGTTAAAGCCACAGGGACATTTGGGGCAAAACATGCTCCACTTTAGATTATTGGTGACTGAGCCACACTCGTTGTATACAGTAAATTAATATTTAATACTTTGGCACTTACTTATGCGGTGTTCAAGAAAATTTGTCTTTCAATGTCTAATAAAAGTCCACAACTTGGTGTTGTTTTTCAAACTGCAATGCAAAATGTACTATCTTTTCAGATAGTAAGAAAATTGTGATACTAAAGGGAGGACAGCTTTGGTTTTATTTCTATTTATGAATACATTTTAATTTTCTTTTTAAATCATGAAAACAGTTTTAAATCCTATAGTTTACTAGACATTTATTTTAACATATCTCTCTTTTGGCAGTCAGATTACTTCCAAAACTTCAAATTGGTGGAAGTCCTTATGGGCTCCAGACAAGGTGAGATACTGGTCATATTTACTGTTCCACTGTATTATGTAAATGTAATTTAACTTCAGTTTAAAGACCTGGGTGTCTGATTTTCTTATTTTTTTAAATTGCAAGTTCCTTTACTTCTAAGAAATTTCAATACTGGCAATTTTGACAGCTTTAATTAACAGCATGATAGCTTTCAATTAAAAAACAATCAATGAAGATTTTTTTAAAATTCTCCTTAGTTCAGCGAATGGTGCTGGATGATCATGAATCAATTATCAGCAGATTACAAGACATCAGAAAGGTAAATAAGGAAACTATACAAACTCTTATGAATATTTCTAAAAAGTCATGGTACAAAGATATTTAGGCAAAATGACTGGATTCACATATAAGGAGATCCCACAGTTGCTGACATTTCTATTTAATAATTTATCCACGTGGCTTTTCTAGCGAGGTGCTGTCACTTAACCAATGAAAAAAACTCCAGAAGAAACAAAATTCAGTATTTCACCAGTGCTGGAAGTCTGGGTTTGTCCCTCCTTTAAAAAAGCCAGTGGTTGACAGAAAAAAAAATACGTAGTAACTCCAAATCCTGGTTTATTTGAGGAAGGAGGCAAAAGTCCTTCTTCAGAAGTAATGCCAAGCTCTTGCTTCTGGTGGTTGTGCTGGTTGCATGTCACTTATAAAATGCATTTCTGGTTTACTGTAGCAACAGCTATTGTGACCATAAGTAAATAGTTTGCTATTTTCTTCATTGTGTATTCTTGGCATAGAATTTTAAATTCCATGGTATTATTCTCAAATTACTTGGGTGCCTGTTTACACTAATGGCACTCTAACTATTTGTAGTTTTCAAACTTGTAGGACAGACTGAAAATGAACAAGTAAATCCAAAACAAACTTCTCTGCTGGAGAACGATCCTTCTGGTAGACAGGCTTCATGGTCTTGAAATAGCGTTTTGGCAAGATGGTTATAAAAGTCTTGAATTTCTCTCTGTATGAAATGTGTTTTAAGGTGATGAAATTTAATTTTTTTTTCTTACACAGACATCATTACGTCAGATGAACCAAACAAGATTTTACATTGTAGAAAACAATATATCGACTGTGCGTGTCCATCTGTTTGTTGGTGGTCTACCACTACATCTTACTGCAGAAGAATATACAAAAATCCTCAAAGATGAATTAGCCATCAAAAGTACGTCAGATAACCCCCTTCCCCCATGTCTTTTTTAATCTACATGAAATGAAAAGTGCTTTTATATTTTGAAATGTGCTCAGATGTCATCTCTCTTTGGAATTACTTTTTATGTTTTATATACATGCTGCAAGTTGTAGAAAATGTTTTAACCAAAGACTCTTAATTTAATCAGAGGCAACCATCCGTATGCCCCTGACACTTATTTTTACTATTAATAAATTGTTCTACTCTTTCATTTTTCCTTGGATTGAATGACAGCCACTGACTTTCCATTTTTGCGTGTATGATTTTACATGAAATTATTATTAGGTGTAAATGTATTACATTTATAAGTCATTTTTAGTTTGGGGGGGAAATTGTAGAAAATAATAAGGAATACTGATTTGGTGTTAAAGTAATATCCCCTTAAAAAGAGTAGGTGTGAAGACTGGATTTTTTTTAAAAAAAAATTAACTAAATTAGAATTGGCTATTTTGGATAATGAAGGAGAAGTGGAAATTTATGAGTTGGGTTCATTGCTGGGTGAAAATATATTGGATTCTATCTTTTGTTAAACACCAACCTGACATGTTATGCAATCGTTCTGTCCCTCTTTCTCCATCACATTTCTGAAAATGAATGTGGGTTGTATATATATATATCTGTTGGGTCCTCAGAAGCTCAGTTGCACAGATGAAAATTGTGCCCATGGTTTATGGAATGTTGCCCATCCAATCCTTGCTGACAGCAACTTAAATTAATAGCTTATGTGTGATTTGTGTTTGTTTAACTAACATTCCCATCAGTACTATTTGGAATTAGCTTTGTTTTATCACGAACCAGTTGATCCTATTTACTATCCTGAAGCCTTAGCTTAAAATCCATGGACAGTTTGTGTTTAAATTTCACTCATTCAAATAAACAAAATTGACCTTTTAAAATATGTCTAAAATGAGACAGCATTAACTTATTAGCTATACACTTTTCTTTCAGTTAGAAAAAAAAAGTTTTTAAAAGGGATACATGGGCAATGATTTTTTTTATTATTATTTCAGCAAATTTAGTTTCTGTGAGTCACATATATTCATCTCAAGGTAAGAATATAATGTTTTAATTCAAATTTGGCAGCTGAACTGTTGGACGTTCTGTGTCGCTTTGGTTCATGCATGGTGTATGAGAGTTACTTCACTAGCTCTTCCCCTTCCTCCTAATGCTCTTTGCATGTAGAAGCATGAGCTCTTTCCTAATTGTACTAAAATGTATTGATATTTCATCTCCTAGAGAACATTATATTTTTTTAAAAAATCTAGTCTATATAGTACCATAGAAAGAAGTGTTGTTTTCCTGAAATAAACCCAGTCCCCAGTGATCCTAATACCCAATGAAGTTTTAGATTTGAGTGACTGAGCTTAATAGCATACAAATACTGTATTGGGACAAATATGGTAACTCATTGTATTATACATAAGAAGTATGGGCATGTCATATTAAATATATTCTTCATTTATTATAGGTGCTGTTGTACTAGAAATTACTTGTTTTTCCGAAGCTGAAAGATTATATATGTTAGTTAAAGATACTTCCGTCAGTGACAAGGCATTAACTGCAGTTATACTCCCGGAAGTTCTGGTAAGATCCATTGGCTGTCTGTAGTAACATAAGACATTAATATATGACCTAATTATACAATTCATGTTTATTTAGCCTATTTTCCTCTGATGTTTATTTTTATTTTGTTTTGTTTGTTAGACACCTATATTGCTTCAGTCTAGTGGCTTTCAGTGCATTGAGTTTTATATAAATGTTATAGAGTTTCTGTATAACATACTTGGCACCAATAGGAATTAATCTCTGAAGGCCTTCAGAAAAACAGTTAGGCCTCTGCAAGCCTTTGGTAAGCCATGAGTGGGCTACTTGTACAGGTAGTCCTCGACTTACGACCACAATTGAGCCTAAAATTTATGTTGCTAAGTGAGACATTTGTTAAGTGACTTTTGCCTCATTTTATGACCGTTCTTGCCATAGTTGTTAAGTGAATCACTGCAGTTAAATTAGCAACACGGTTGTTAAGTGAATCTGGCTTCCCTATTGACTTTGCTTGTCAAATGGTCGCAAAAGGTGATCACATGGCCCCAGGACACCGCAACCGTCGTCAATATGAGCCAGGTGCCAAATGCCTGAATTTTGATCACATGACCATGGGGATGCTGCAACGGTTATAAGTGTGAAAAATGGTCATAAGTCACTTTTTTCAGTGCCGTTGTAACTTTGAACTGTTGTAAGTCGAGGACTATCTGTATTTCAGGGGAGGGGAAACTGTTTCAAAAGTGGGGAGCTGCCATAGACAATGTCCATTTCCATGACCCTATTAATCACACTGCACACTAGATGAGGACCTTCAGCAGGCATTCCCTGTTTGATCATAATGGTTAGACAGACTCAAGATTTCATGTATACCTAAGTCCCGAAGCACGTAGAGCTTTTTAATTAATGAACTGCACCTTAAGTGCGCTTAGAAACATATGGACAGCCGTAACTGTAGCTCCTATAGTTAAGTAGCAGTAATGAGATTTCCCATAACAACATGGGGCGACACAGCTTGCACTAATTGAAATTTCTGTGTCATTTTCTGTGATAGCCGCATATAAAAGGAATTGCATTAATCTAGGAGTGAGATGCCTACAGAATGAAAGATGCTCTTCAGCTCTAGGCAAGGGTACAGCTGGGCAAAGAACCTCCTGATCAGGACTTCCACTTGGTCTTCCATCAGGAACCATGAGTCCAGAAGGAATCCCAAGATCAGGGGAACATTACCTGTTGAGAGCAAAAATTGTTACTAATCTGGAAACATTTAACTACTTAATGAACTGTCACTCCATTTGTCTATGTTATTTCCTATCCGGATCCTGGTAGACCCAGGTACTGGCTTAAACTTCCACCATGTCCCCCATTTGAAGGAGAATGGAGATAGATATTGATGATATTTTATCCCATACTGGTGGATGACCTTCTCTACTGCAATAATTGCAAAATAAATAAGAGAATAAAAGAATAACAGAATTGGGGGTAACCTTGGAGATTCTAGTAGTCCAGCCCTTCCTCAAACAGGAGACTCTATACCAGTGGTTCTCAACCTGTGGGTCAGGACCCCATTTGGGGTCGATCGACCATTTCATGGGGGTCGCCAAGCAAGGCTGTCCGCCATTTTTTTTGTCCGCCATATTTTTTGTCCGCCATATTTTTCCCCCTTTTCCGGTGGGTGCCTTACCTCCCTTGGGCTGGGCCAGCTGGTGGTCGGCCTGCTCCGTCTCTGCCGCTTGCCAGCTACGCCTCGGCCTGCGCAGGGGGCGGAACCACGCATGCACGGCGCTCCCGGGCAGGGAAAGTCCTCGACTTACGACCGGTTGGGTAGTCCTCGACTTACGACTGGTTTAGTCCTCGACTTACGACCGGTTTAGTCCTCGACTTACGACCGGTTTAGTCCTTGACTTATGACCAGTTGGGGTCACGACATTAAAAAGGTTGAGAACCACTGCTCTATACCATCAGAGACAAATGGTTGTCCAATCTCTTCTTAACAACCTCAACTTCTGGAGACAGGTTGTTCCACTGATTAATTGTTCTAACTGTCAGGAAATTTCTCCTTAGTTCTAGGTTGCTTCTCTCCTTGATTAGTTTCCATCTATTGCTTCTTGTCCTGCCTTCAGGTGCTTTGGAGAATAGGTTGACCCCTCAGATATTGGAACATTGCTATCAGGTCACCTCTAGTCCTTCTTTTCATTAAACTAGACATACCTAATTCCTGCAACTGTTCTTCATATGTTTTAACCTCCAGTCCTCTAATCATCTTTGTTGCTCTTCTCTGCACTCTTTCTAGAGTCTCAACATCTTTTTTATTCTTATGGCAACCAAAACTGGATGCAATATTTCAAGTGTGGTCTTACCAAGGCGTTATAAAGTGGCACTAAAACTTCACATGTTAGTTAAATTAAATACTTAGAATAAGTTAGTTAAATACTTAGAAGAGAAACATATTAATTAGTTGCTATCAAGGAAATAATCCATTGCATGTTATTGACTGAATATTTTACATAATTGAGTTGTTCCTTAAAATCCAACTGGACTGACATTCTTTAAATAATGACTGTTCAAACATTTGCCCAGTATAAATAGTATTAATTAAATATGTGCTCTCTGGCATAGAGGTGATACAAATATATTCTAATAATCAGAGCAAAGTTTTCTTAGTGAAATGAAAGCGTTCTCATTTTTTATAGCAATTTAACTTGTTAAATTAAATTCAGCACTATTTTGCTGTTCCACTCTGATCACACAGAGAATGTGAAGAATTAACAAATAGAGGCATGGAAGAATTTACTGTCAGTTAGGAAATGTGTTGTTATAAACAAAGAACAGTTGTGTTTGATTTGGGCATTTAAAATAATAAGCTATTTTGGTTCAATCTAAAAGAAAAACAGCTTTGCCATTTAAAAGCTTGAAGGACAGTTCCAGTGTGCTTTAAATAAGAACATTAGCTATTTCTGGAGAGCATAACAGTGAGTTAATTTAGCTTTGCAAATAACTCTGCATATTGTTGAACGTTGTCAGTATTGAATTGGCAATTGATCAGGCAGGCTGAAATCTCTTGAAAATGTAAAAATGAATGGTGGTTACATTTTCTTATATGATAGCAGCAGGAGATCTTATTTCCTGGGATGTGCATCCTATGACATTTAGGAATGCTTTAAAGTTTCTTTTATAAGTTAGACCAATCACATAGGTTCTTATCTGACTGAACTTTCCCCCCCAGCCATTCCTTGATTTGTACTTGGGGTACATACTGACGTTCACAAGCATGTATGAGATTACATCTGGGGACAATAACTCCTAACCTGCTATAGTTACTGCTATGGCTTGTTTACTGGGTCTAAGGCAGCGGTTCTCAACCTATGGGTCGCGACCCCATTTGGGGTCGATCGACCATTTCACGAGGGTCACCAAGCAAGGCTGTCCGCCATTTTTTTCCCCTTTTCCGGCGGGTACCTTACCTCCCTTGGGCTGGGCCAGCTGGTGGTCGGCCTGCTCCGTCTCTGCCGCTTGCCAGCTACGCCTCGGCCGGCGCAGAGGGCAGAACCACGCATGCACGGCGCTCCCGGGCAGGGAAAGTCCTCGACTTAACGACCGGTTGGGTAGTCCTCGACTTACGACCGGTTTAGTCCTCGACTTACGACCGGTTTAGTCCTCGACTTACAACCGGTTGGGGGTCGCGGCATTAAAAAGGCTGAGAACCACTGGTCTAAGTGAATCCTTTGTTTCTTATGATTTGCAAGATACCTGAATTCAAGATAGGAGCTTTAAGAATTGCATATTAAACAACAGGTGCGGGTGCAAAAATCAATCTTACAGTAAACCCTTTGAAAAATCCCCACCTTAATTGAAATTGTTCAATAGGATTATGCATACAATTAGTTAAGTCTTGTTTTACAAGGTTTCCTGTACATATCAATCAGATTTCAAAAAGTTTGCTTTTATTTCCAAATTAAAAGAGGTAGGCCGAGGTTTATTTCTACTCAAGTGAACACTTGGTGCATAACGCTTTTCCTAGGAGAGCATCCTGATTTTTTGCAGGCAGAAAAGAGTTGGAAAAAATTGCAGTCATACATTGCACAAGAGTTTATTTATTGCTTATTTTCTACATGTTGCTCTTATTTATTGCTTATTTTCTACATGTTGCTCCTTTGACTTAATTTTCCTTAGGAAATTAAGTCAAAGGAAGAGAGAGATGCAGAATTGAATAGAGAGGGGAATTTCTTTCACTGAACTTGGTGTGTGTGTGTTTGTGTGTAGAAAAAGCAAGGTGAACATGAACTGGTTCAGACCCAAGCTGATTAATAATTTAAACAATCCCCTTTGTTCTCAGATCAGTTGCAAGAAATTCAGAAATGTTTAGTTCTACTTTAGATTAATGAAAGCTTGGAAATGGAAAAAAAAAATCCCTGGGATTGATCTGAATGATGGTAGTTGAACAAGTCAGCTCTTTGGATTGTGAAGCTGTTTTCTGTAAAGTAGCCATAATTACATTTAATCACAAACTATGTGTAAACCTGTGGTTAATCTAAACTAGAAGCACAAACTTTCAATTTTCTTCCAACTTTGACAGAAGAGGAGAGAAAGCAACAATGCAGGTTTATTGTGCTTATGAAACCAGATTTACACACAATTGTTTGAAATCAATCACAGTTTTCTAGTATAAAACATGGAATAAAGTAGATGAAAGGGTAGTCTCGCCAAGTACCCCACAATAAAAATAAGAGAGTTAATCTAGTCCATTTTCATTTATGAAAAAAAGTGAAAAGTGAATATTTCTGATTGATATAGTTTGTTGTAAGCCCATAGAGTCTGCCAGTCCTTTGGGCATTTGTATGTACTACAAAAATAAAATAAGGATAAGATCAGGGTTTGTTGCCAGGGGTTTGCTTACAAAGACTTGTAGGGATTTTGAAAATTTGTAGGCTGCCATGGAGGATGCATTATCCTGTATAAAAGTGTGCAGGTGAGGAGTTCTGTGTAATGGAGAAGGTGGCTGGACCCATCTTCCAAATCTTCCCAACTCTGTTATACAGTAAATA